AGGGATCTTCTGTACAAAGCTCACTGCAAAACACTCCCTGCCACAGCTCAAAATAAGAAAATTAGTTAAGTCATCCAGTTAGGGTTAGGAATACAGATTACGCTGAAAGTTCAAATTTTCAAATCAATCCTAAGCTGAACCCTAACCGGATAATTATTAACTTGTAATTTTAAAACGCGGCGGAGTGTTTTATATGACCCAACATTTTTGCAATAGTGGCGGGGGCTTTATACAAAAGATCCGAAATTAGTAATTATGTTCCATAAATGAGTAATTAGACCTGCAGAGACTAAAATTATAACAAGATTTACGGTAATCACGAAGTATGTGACCAAGATGGCGGACACCGGAACGTAGTATGTGTACCAGGTTAGGGTTAGGCCATAATTTTATTCCAATTTTCCTCACTTTAATTCTATTACGAGTTCGGGGACTAGCCAAGTGACTCCCGTAGTATTTATTCCGGAAATTATGGCCTAACCCTAACCTAGTACACATACTACGTTCCGGTGTCCGCCATCTTGGTTCACATACAGGGTTTTAAAAGATGCCATCAATTGGGGTTACGCGAGACTATTTCTATGTAACTATGACAATTCTATGTAATTCAATAGTGATTCTCACTGCGCAGTAACACAAATGTGATTCACTCTGACTTCGGTAAGACAGAACGTTACAGTAATACATTTGTGTTAGTGTGCAGCAGGACTCTTGAATCACTTAGAATAGTGATCTTTACTCTTGCTACAGCATTCTTGTATTAAATGCATGTTACAGGAAGACATTTGTGTTAATGTGTAGCAACACTTCTCAGTGATATAACTACGTCAACTATAGCAGTTGGGGGTTACGTGAGGCCAATTGCCGATTCTCCCTCTATGCTATAGTTGATACATAGGGTATAATGCAAGGATGCTGTCACAAGAATATAGATGTTTATTCTATGTTATACTTGAGTATTGTAGTGCACTGTCGCAAATGCATATATGCATGGTCAAAATAGGTTTGTCTAGGGAAGCATAACTTTGATCAGAAGAAGCGTTGACGAAATTGCCTTTCGAAATTCTGCGGCAAAACTCTTGGAATAGCATTCCTTATTCTTGCTATAGCACCCTTGTAGAATGCGTATACACAGCTCAGTTAGCGAATTTTATTGCGTCAAATGACTCTCAAATGTATAGAATAGTTAGTCATCTGCACAATATGATTGTGTTACACGCATTCCAGGCCAGTTACAAAACATAACAAAAACTGACGGAAGCTATTTTGCAAAGCACTTTGTATTATAATAATATTAATAAAAAGCTTATGTGTTAGTGGGCAGCAAGACACGTAACGGATAGAATGAATATCCGTCTTATTTCCATAAGCATCATTATAGTATACCTATGTTGCAGGTCAGATAAGCAAACACATTTGTGTTAGTGTGTTACAAGACTCTCAAATCACCTGGAAAAGTTAACTTTAATCTTGCCACCGCACTCTACCATCATACGTGTGTTACATAAATACATTCGTGTCAGTGTTACAAGACTATGAAATCACTTAGAAGAGTCATCTTGTATTGTTGTTGTATCCTTGCATTATACGCATTTATGTGGTCACTTATAAAAATAAATTTGTGTTAGTGTGCAGCAAGACACGTAACGCATAGAATATCGGTCCTTTTTTACTTTATCATCATAATAGTATAAGTAAGGTGCAGGTCAGATAAAGAAATGTGTTAGTGCGCAGAAAGACTCTTGAGTCATTTAGAAGAGTATGTCGACTGTCCATAAAGTCTTACAATTTAGCAATACCATATATTTTGTTCTGGCCCTCACAGATGTATTTAAAATGAGATAAAAATAACTAAACAAATACTGATTAAAAACCAACGAATCTGGTTAAGATATATTGAGAACTGACTCCATAACAAAATTGAAATTGTGAATAGATTTTATGGACACCCTGTTTTTATTCTTGATACAGCATAATTATGCGTACAGGTCAGTTAGAGAAATATGATGAAGAAACCTTTGATCATTTTTGTAAAATAAATCGCGGCAATTGAAGCGTAAGACATGTAAGTCGGTATAACCCGATTAGGGAAAGCATGAATGGCGGTTCGGCGTCTTAGCGACGAGTAGTTTTTTTGAACAGCTAATTTGAAGCACTGTGATCGTTGGTTTTGCATTGGCTAATATTGCAATGAAACTTCATTACTAGTGGTTGAGGCGTTGTGTGTAATTAATTGTCTTGTTACGTATAGGTTAAATGGGTTGCGTACATTGCTCTCGCTGCTTTTGAAAGCCGATATGATATCAAGGAGAAAGATAGAGAGAGATTAATTTTTTTGTCAATCTAAAAACGATCATTGCAGCAATTACAAACATATACAACAACATACGTAAAGTTATTCGGTATAGACTGGTGAGAGCGATACGGTCATCAAAGTCAGCTGACGCCAGATAGGTGTTTCAGGCAAGATCATTTCTTTTTGGTGAACTGACTAGTTTAAAGCATAGCACTCATTAGTTGATGTTTTTCAGGTGAAAACGCCACGAATCTTATCTTTTTAGCTTACTCAAATCCGACGTTTCCCAATCGAGGGGGAGGGAGGGGGGCTTGGGGGGGGGGGGGGGTCTTATGAAGAAATTTTGCTCATTTTGAAGAAATTAAAGCAATGCCACTTTCTATTTTGTGTTGTTTCACTGATATAATTTATTGCAGTATTATTGCAATGCATAACTATAGACAAGTTATATATTCAAACTGTGCAAAAGTCAGAGTAGGAATTGTGTGCAGTATTAGCTATCTATTCATCAACGATTGTGCAAATTACCAAAGCAGAGATTTTATGAGGGCAAAATGTTTGTATCCAAGTTGTCTTGCTTGTTCAGAATTTTTTCTGCTTGTCCTACTCTTGTTAGGAGGGAATGGAGAGTTTGATATTAGGCAAATAGTAAAATACATCGGAAAGATTTGAGAACCGCCGCTTTAAGCGTTTGCTTAAATTTCTATTTACCAAGTAGGCATGTTCTCACAATTCTATAAATGCTATACTGTAAATTTTAGCACTTTGACGGATCGCTTATTGGTCGCCTGCAGATTGAACTGGGAATTCGAATCATTCCCGAAACCTAACTAGTTAAATCCTAATTTGTTATTCGAAAACGTGACGGGGTGTTATTCACAAATCTCACATTTTTGCAAGTGGCGGCGGCTTTGTACAAAAGATCCCAAAACTTTTACCATAAATCACTTTACAATCCTTGCATTATTATTTTTCGGAACGACCGTACTTCTTTCAAGTTATGATGTAAATTGTTTTGAGAGAAAGTATTACCCATCGGGGTAGCGGGTCAAAGTCCACAGGAGTGAAATACGATGTGTAAATATAATATGCTCTGTCTCCTGACAAGTCGTGCGTAAAATGACGCCATTGCAACAAAACAGGTTACGTAAGTCGGATAATCTAAAATTAAAAAAAAAAAGTAAATTACTTGACTTTATGGGTTGGTTGAATTAGGGTACCCCACTTGTAGAGATACTGAATCAAGAATTAAAATAGCTATATATTGATTGTTTATATGAATTGTGTATACCAAACTACAATTCGTAAGCAGGAATTTTCGAAGGGGTGTGGGGGGGGAGGGGGGGTCTGAAATTTTTGATTGACATGTTACACCGTAACAGCTAGAGCAGGGTGGTCCAAGATTGGCAGATCCGCGGGCCACAAAATTACTTTTGCATTGTTGGCGGGCCACAATAGTGCCAAGAACTTTGCTCGTTTAACTTCGCTAGCTGCCTCAGCAAGCCATAACACTAGTCAGTGCTATTAGCAACAATATGTCAAGCGATTTTTTGATTTCTCTCCGAATTCGACGCGGGCCACAGATAATGAAGTGGTGGGCCACATGGGGCCCGCGGACCTGGGTTTGGACCACTCTGAGCTAGAGGGACTGAGAAGCGTTTCAAGCTACGTTAAATTACTATGTTTGATACAGAAAAATGCTTTTTTTTTTTGCATTTTGAAAGGGAGGTACCGACCCGCCATTTGAGTTGTTAAAATTTGCGACTACTTTTGAAACATGGAATCTTTCTGGTTAGACATTGGTTGGTCACTTGATTACAACCTGGGTGAAGTGGTTAGTACGGGATTCGAACACGACACCTCTGCCTTTTCGCGTTATATATAGTCAAGTTCAACGTCCTAAACACTAGACTACCTCGCTCAAACCATTTTCGAAGTTATAATAACCCTTAAAATCTATTAAATTGACTGCTCACTTTTAAAAGTGCAAGCCTTTCTTTGTTATCGTACTCAGTAGATAAGGGATCGCATATAACAATGCAAATATTTGTGAGCTATTTAATGCTTACCGTGCGTATTCATGTGGTAGTTGTTGTTTGCTTTACTGTGTGCGGGTGGATTGTAATTTTGAGTAAAAGTCCTCTGCGATGTAATAAATTTGTCATGCCGTCTTAATATAACAACGATCAAAGGATTGGAATTTCGGGCGAGAGATATTTATGCTAGTTCGCTCAAAAATATGGTAAAAGTGCTGATAGAAGTGATGCAAGTTTGCTCAAAGTAAGGTCTCGAGTCCTCAACTGAAATAGAGTGCTGTTACTAGAGTTGCAAGTTTTCTCAAAGCAAGATCGCGAAACTCAACTAAAAGTGGAAAGAGTACTAATAAAAAAAAAGTTGCAAGTTTGCTCAAAGCAAGGTCCCGAGTCTTCAACTAAAAGAAGAAGTAAAACAGGCAGACAAATCAAATTACAGACTAAATTTTTTGGGGCTTTTAACTGGAAGTGGGAACAGCACCAATAGGAAAGCATCCACCGACGTGCTGAATTTTGTAGGCAATCTTAGAATAAAAATAGCGGAAAAATATACCTTTTTAACGGCGAGATTTTTGTGATCTCGTCTCAGTGTGAGTGCGAGTGACTTTGCTTTGAGTGGATCACCTAATAAATAAAGTATAACATATATATAACACTTATATTCCTTTTAAAACAGATATTTAAAATTAGTTTTATCATAGTTCTGATTATCCTGGGAAACTTCGAAAATGAAGTGGAAAATCATTTCCACACTGACGGTGGTCTTGTTTCTGAGGTAAGCAATTTTTATGACGAACAAAGCCATGGACCAGGGCGATTGAGTCGCGAGTCGGAAATTTGCAAGTTTCTCGACGAAGAGGGAGGGATTACGAAAGAATAAAAGTTGAGAACATCGCCCAAACAAGAATATCGGTCGGAAACCGAATAGTTATCGATCGAAACTGCGGTTTCGATTCATGACTCTATAGTGACACCGCGTGTCCTATCACTAATGAATTATTAACTCGCTAATTATACGGCGTAATTCATTCGAACTCAATAGGCTTCTGGTCCGAGATATGATGAATGCAAATACAAAATTTGCAGCAGATTCAACCACGCCTTCGTGAGATATCGCGTGCATTTACCAGACATACAGACAGACAGACAAATACCTATCAACATACTTACCGATCTAAAGATAGATAAGTAAGTAATCACTGATACGTCGCTTCAAAGCAGGCTACTTTTCCGTTTTGTACATAATTTTCTATAACACACGCACGCACGCACAAACGCACGCACACGCACGTACACATTCACCCACAAAATAATTATAATTAGATCCTGCAATTGGATTCCATCTTAGTTCGCATTTGTACAAGTGTTGAGACTATAATATGCTAAAAATATTTCCATAAACCTCCAGTGTGCTTCTATGCAAGAATTCGTAAATTTTGAGGTCCGACATCCTTCGAACCTAATACCTAGCCCAGGGTTTCCAAAGCTGGGGTCCCCGTACCCATGTGGGTTCGTGATGGCTGCAAAGGGGTCCGCAACGAAATTGAAAGAGTCTTATCGAACCAATATGATGACAAAATACAGGTTGAGACTTGTCGTAGAGTCGGACCTACAAGTTTGCTTGTCACAAATTTCTCAGAGAATCGATAAGTTGTGCAGTCAGATGCAAGCTCATCCATCACATTATTGTCGTTTGTCTCAATGTATTGAAAATGAAGCATCATCCATTCTCGTTGGTTTTTCGCAGACATTGATGCGTTATAGGATGGGGGTCCGCCAAAACTAAGATTCACAAATAGGGATCCGCGACTCAAAAAGTCCGTGAAACCCTGACCTGCCTAATCCCTTCGCAAACCAAATTCCCCCTTACATTGAATGTATCTCTAGTTGTTTATTATACAGTGTCGCGTCAAAATTTATTTAATTTCATACATTGTTACGATTCATGCAAAAATTGTACCACAGTGTAGAATACACATCCAACTAGTTTTCCATACAGTGTTACTTGAAACATGATAATATTCCATTTTACAGCACCAAGGCAAATTGTGATGCCGCGTTAGATGCCAGAGCCGACCAATTTCTGGAAGAATACTCAAACGCAGCCGAGGATCAGTACTTTGTATCAGTAACAGCTTCTTGGAATTATTTCACTAATTTGACGGAGTACAACAGCCAAATAGTGGTAAGTTTTGAAAGCTTTGCTAGTTCTTCGTGTTCGGTAGTGGTCTCCGAGCACCGAGTTTATACAGTCCGTAGTCGAGTTGAAACTTGGCACTAGTTTTCCTCGTGGGCTGCATTTAGCCCGCTGGCCGCAGTTTGCACATCATAATTTAGATGACTCGATTATCTGCGAAATTTGATGAATAGCTTGATTTCAACTCGATTGGATTCAACCGAATACCTCCAGCATTGTTGGTCTTTACCTCTGAACAGGGATCTGTAAAAGTTACCGCTAATACGCAAAAAGCAGATATTTTTGGAACTGCCAGAAACTTGTCTTTTGGATTGTTTTACAATTTATCACACACAGCGCGAAGTGGCAGGCGTACAATTAGAATTCGCAACGTTTCGAGCAACATGCAATGAAAACGCGCTCTGACGTCACTTTAATGACGTCATTCCCTTTAAAATGAGAGACAACAGACCTTGCTCATTAATCTTTGCCTAGTATTCCATGAAAATATACCAAGCGCTTCGAAACAGAAAAGAGAGAGAGATATTTTGCAACGCATTGCCAAGCTATTTGCCAAACTCAATTGTGTTATCTGCGATAAGCATGCATAAATCGAACTTTTTACCACTAGAGAAGACCATCGGGTTTTAATAGATTTGTTGGTTCCTGGTATCGGTTACGAATCCCTAATTTCCGGGTAGAGTCACTAGTTATCCGAGGTTCGAGTCATGTTCGAGTCTAAAGTCTCAAGTTTATCTCACTACCCTTAGTTGAGTCATTTCATTTGGATAACTAAAGTCATTTAGAGTCTTTGATATATGGTCTTTCGATGGTGCTCCAGAAGTATGCGCACCAAGATGTCGCACAACCTGAATCCTAACCGGTACACACATACTATGTTCATGTTGCGCGCCATCTTGGTGCGCATGCTTCTGGAGGTCCCTCTCGATGGCAAGTTAGGTCGCGTCGGCAACGTTGTTTTGGGATTGTATTTACTTACCTGTTAGCAACGTTTTGTGCAACAAACAAAGAGTCCGAAATAAAAACGCGACGAGCTATTCGTCAAATGCATTTGAGTCAACCGCGACAAACATCGGCAAGTCGGGACGAAGGCCTCATTTTATTACTTAGGCGTGACCGGACAGTTTTAAAGCTTCGATTTAAAACTCCAAATTGCTGGTGTGTTTTCATTTAATTTGCTTTTGCGATTCGCTCATGATAAACACTGAAATGCTACTAAAACTGTATAAAATTATGGCTGTGCATTATGCAAACTCACTCAAAAGTGAAGAAAACTCATCTCTGAGCAAAGTTAGTCCTAAACTAGGGGCCCGTCGACCCCCAAGAGGCCACATGGCAGTTGGGGAGGTCACAATGCTAGTCGCAAAACGAATTTTACTTTTCCCTTCACAAGAAAACTCTCCATTCTTATTAATTTCATTTCTTGATAAGGTAATTTCACGGGATGTTTTCACTTTGTTGAGCATGAATTGTTTGAACATAATGGGGATTGGAATCTAACAATCAAAATGACACTATAAATACCACTGGAATGATAAACAGGCCATGAGTGCTAAAAGACTCCGGAAGGGGGCCACGAGCTATAAAAGGTTATGAACCTCTGGCATACAGAGAAATCAGCGACAAGGTAACAACGCTTATAACGACGTGGCAACCGTTGAGCCACTTCAAAATAAAATACAAATGCTGGACAACGTCAATTGCCTTATGACCAGTGGTGGGATTCAAAATTTTTGTCAGCCGGTTCCTTCACAAAAGTTATATTTTTCAGCCGGTTCTGTTATAAACAGAACATTGACAGTAACCAGTAATGTTAACCGGTTCGCTGATCTCATAAAATTCCGTGAGACGGTTCTATAGAACCGGTGCGAACCGGTTGAATCCAACCACTGCTTATGACGACTCCGTGAGATTATAGTTTTGCAATTATCCTAAGCCCATCTTGAAAAGTAAACAATTCTTTTGTCCAGTCATTCTTATTTGTACAAAGTTGACTATTTAGATAAACCGCTACACGTGAAAATGGGTTATGCAATACCATACTTCAATATGTTTGTACAACGCGAAGTATTGCCTGACAAATAACTCTGGGATAGGATAGGATCTTACATATTTATCCCGGGGGAGAGGAAATCCGATGAAGCAGCTCAATCATATGGCGAACCACCGCCTCTCGTCCAGTTACCTTTACATGTACGGTATGGGATTAGTTAGCCAGTTATTTGTTTTCAGATGCATTGAGATGATTGCGAAAACAGATTCTGGCTTCTGAAAATATTGTTGTCGCGACTTTTCAATGCAAAGTTTCTCAAACTGGTCTTCACACTTTCCTTGCACTTCCCACAAAACCGGTGCTCCACGGGCCACGAGCAATGGTTCATTGGCACTTTTCGCAATTTATGCGATTACGGACCCGGAAGTGATGGTTGACCCGGAGGTGATGGTTGACTGTCTATTTCTCGAAGTTGTTTCCTTAATAGCAGTGGATCTTAAACGGTGGGGCGCACCCCACAAGAGGCGTAAAAAGAGACCATAACTGTAATAAATTCATAAATAACCGTTAATAGTGAAGTTACGTGCAATCACTGGAATGCCAGGGTTACTGAAACAATATATATTGATGGCTATGCATGGCTACCCGCCAGTAAACTAAGATTGGCCCTGGAATTTAAACAGTTCGGGACAATACAATCAGGAAAATACCTCTGAGAAAGTGAATTCACGATTGGAATCTTGGAAAAAACTTTTGGCATATTGTGTTTACATTTGAAAATAGGGAGCGTCCGCGGTTAATTCAGAGAAGCACAAGAATCCGCATATAAACTTTGAGAACCACTGATATATGCACTCTATCTTATTCTATTGTATTTTCAGTTTTAAGATTGCGAGGGGGTCCGCAGTTACTTCAGATAAACATAAAGGTTCTCCGTAGTATATGAACCAAGATGGTGCACAACCTGAACATAGTATGTGTACCAGGTTAGGGTAACCAGGTTGTGAACATGAGGTTTGGGAACCACTGATTCAGATATTTTATTCCGCGTCGGGAGGAGAATAGCAAAGTCCGTTTATTATTTTCTATCTGATATCTAACTCTGAGGACTCGAGTATAATTTACAACGAATAAATATCACTAAGTAGACCAGATAGTGATGTTTATTTAACCCACACGTTTGGAATTTGTCGAATATTTTCGAGAACAAATCACTAATTTAAATTAGATAGGTTGGGTGATGATTGGCCGATTTAGCCATTTTTAATTAATTTTATCCGGGTATGGTTTATCGGATAATCGGATTTTAACGACTCACAATTTTTGCTTTAAATCCATATTAAGTTTATAAAATTGTGTTTGAATTAAATTTTGTTAAATTTTTATGTAACAAATAATCTTGACTAAATCACACGACAGGTCTGGTGATGGTGTACAGAAGCAGTTCCCAACCGGATGCTATTGGCCCAGCGAGAGGGCCACAATGCGCGGCGCAAAACTGATTTTAGATTTTACTTTACAAGAAAATTCCCCATTCTTCCTAATTCCATTGCTTGATAAGGTTACTTCACTGGGTGTTTTCACTTTGTTGAGCATGAATTGTTTAAACATAACGGGATTTGGAATCTACCAATCAAAATAACATTATAAATACCTCTTGAAAGATAAACAAGGTTACCGGTTGATAAATATGATATGATGATAAATACCGGTTAACCGAATTTTAATGATTTTTAATCTCGTTTGCTTCAGATTTATGAGTAATTTATAATCTTGGAAATCACACACAGATTCGGCTATGTTTTTTATCGGTTTGTCGAATTTTCATCTATTTTATATTATTGCTAACACATTTTACATGTCGATTGTATAGACGTCCGGTAATGGTTTACCAATTTACCGAATTTTCAATTTGACAAAATTACAATTTCGTTTTTTTTCAATTTCCATTTTTTTTCATAATATTGCCAACTTACATTATCCCTGTAATGGTTTACCGTTTTACCAAATTTTCATCTATTTTTATTGCCAACTTAGTTTTTTATTTGGCATTCCGCTCGTTTAATGATTTGTATAAAAAGTTCGCGTGTCGACATGCAGTGATAAAACCTAGCAAACATTTGTCACGTATAGGGTGAACGCCCTTGTTCGACTGGATGATATTTGCAATAGTTAGCAATGTGTCACTTTATGTTTGCTCTGCTTTCTTGCGATATCGCTGATTGATAACGCAGATGGCATTTATTTGCGCATCTTGTTATCGAGATACAAACAACGATATACAGGGGGTCCAAAAAATACTGTAGATCCTGTAAATAGGTATAAAGTTCCGCTCCGAACAAAGCACTACAAAAGCAACTATGCTATGTTCTTGTTGTCGGGGATACGAATAGCCTTTTCATATATATATTTATAGTTATCGATTTAATTGCCAAATTTATTAATTTTCCAACTATTTTCACTACACTATACACTATATTCGTGGAATGCATACCCAACGACCTACAAATGCAAACAGTCTTAAATTCTGGAATTTGTTTTAATAATCGATTTCGATTTCTAAAATTGTGTCGAGAAATTCATTAATTGCGCAATGAATGAGCATTAGAGTATTAACCTCGCTAGCTGTATAATTCACTTTTAATTTTGTGTTCCTTTATTCAGCATTTCATTTCTATGTTCAAAGTTACGTCACAATCTTGTGCGATTGAATGATATTTGCAATAGTTGACAATGTGTCACTTTGTGTTTCTTTGCTTTCTTGCGATATCGCTGACTGATAACGCAGATGGCGTTTGTTTGAGCACTGTGTTATCGAAATACCAATAACGTTTTCGAAAAATATACAGGGTGTCAAAAAAATTTCGCCTGATTTTATAATAATAAAATTTGTAAGTTTAAATGTTATTCTATGATTAATGAGAACCGAAAGCACAGTAAAAACTATTATACAATGACAAAGAATTTATTGCAGTCGTGACTCGTGATCGAATTATTCAATTGCAAAGTAGAATAAACAGTATTCGGTATTCGCATAAAATTTTCATCACGCTAACATTAAATAAAATTGGATTTTTCTTAAATACGCTTTACGATTTTCGCGGTATTCTTAGATATATGATTATTCGATTACATTTAACGGCCCACAAATACAAATAGTCTTAAATTCTGGAATTCGTTTCAATAATCGATTTTAATTTTTAAAATTTTATCGTGCAATTTATTGACTGCGCAATAAATAGAACAATCATTCCGCACCTCTTGAAGTATGCGCACCAAGATGGCGCACAGCCTGAACTCAGGTTGTGTACCAGGTTATGTTTCAGGTTGCGCGACATCTTGGTGCGCATAGTTCAGGAGTACCATCATTCCAGTACTGATCTCTCTACGCTGTACTATTCGCTTCCAATTCTGAGTTTCCCTCATTCAGTATTTCATTTCAATTTTCAAAATTGTGTTACGTAGTTTTTCTCGCGCCCAATTTTAATTATTCTGCTTACTATTTTCGCAAAATTCTGTGGTTTGCTGCGAGCCGTTCGTGTCATCGAATAACCGCCATGAACATGCTGTTTAAACCCCTTCACCTATAGGGTAATAAATTGGGTAGGCGATATTAGACCCGAAAATTTCGGTATATTCAAAAACAGTAGCTGCTTTCATATCAGCGGATGCTTGTACGGTGCCTTGTTCGGTACTCCCGAAGTATGTGAACCAAGATGGCGGGCAACGGAACGTAGTATGTGTACCAGGTTAGGGTTAGGCCATACTTTCAGGTATAAATGCAACGGGAGTCACTTGGCTAGTCCTCGAACTCGCAATAGAACTAAACTAAGGAACATTGCAATAAAATTATGCTCTAACCTTAACCTGGTACACACACTACGTTCCGGTGTCCGCCATCTTGGTGCACATACTACAAGGGACGACATTTGTATGAACGCAATCATAAAGAACTTTACGCTCGAATATGCGAATTTAAAAGTTTTGCTAGGTTTTGTGGAATGTTATTGAATTTTGTAAAATTAAAATAGTTTTATATCTTGCTTTAGGATTCGTTTGTGCGATTAATTTGTATTTTCAAAATTGTTTCGTGCAATTCAATGATTGCGCAATAAATAGAACAAACATTCCAGCAATAAACTCGGTTATCGTGTCGACCTGTGCCAAGACCTGCAAGGGTACGCTGCATAATTTACTTTCAATTTTGAGTTCAGTTATTCAGCATTTTATTTCGATTTTCAAAATCCCACTTGGGAGCAAATCCAACGTAGACAATGGGAAAAATATACCGAGATCAAAACGAGAAACGAAAGCGACTATTTCTCCGAATTATTGGTGTAATTTTTCCCGCAAGTAATTTCGACGCGTAACTTTGATTTATGATTGATAAGTAAAAAAGGTGTGACAATATTTACAATGTGCGATTGCATTCTGCTACGATCAAATAGTCTCATATTTCGGGGCTCGTTTCGATAATTTACCTTTTAGCAATGTTCTGAGCAACCTACAAAACGTTCGCAATGAAAACGCGCCATGACCTCATTTTAATGACGTCATACTCTTTAAAATGAGGGATAACAAACCTCGCTTTCTAATCTTTGCCTAGTATTCCTAAAAAATATACAAAGCGTTCAAAAAAAGAGAAGAGAGAGAGATTTTGCAACGCATTGCGCAATATTTGTCACACTCAAGTGAGTTAACTCTTACAAAGTAAAGCACCGCCATAATTCAGTTGCAGATGCAGTTTCACCGTAAGCCACTCGTGAAGCAAATACCGTAGTATGTGTGCCAGGTTAGGGTTAGGCCATAATTTTATTCCGATTTTTCTTATTTTAGTTCTGTTACGAGTTCGGGGACTGTGTGTGTTGGCCGAGTGAATATACCCCCTGTCCATAGGTTTCAGTCCCTTTACACAAATTGATGTAAAATAGGCGAACAAAATTAGTTACCTCCATATTGGTAAACACACATCTGGAGCGCCAAAACAACACAATTCGGAGCTTTAAATCAAAGCTTTGAAACTGTCCGCCTAAGTAATAAAATAAAGCCTTTGTCCCGACCTGTTCATGTTTCGATTTTTAAAATTGCCCGATGGATTTTGCGCGCTCCAGAAGTATGTGTACCAATATGGAGATACTAATTTTGTTTGCATATTTTAAATCAAGTTGTGTAAAGGGACTGAAACCTGTGGGTTGAGGGTATGTTTACTTGGCTAACACAGACAGTCCCCGAACTCGTAATAGAACCAAAATAGGAAAAATCGGGAAAAAATTATGGACTAACCCTAACCTGGTAAACATAATACGGGTGCACCCGATTTCGCAATAAACAAAACAAACATCACAGCAATGAATAACGTCGTTTTACGAGAATATGAATTATATTGCCAATGTGTGAATCTTTAAAAAATGAGCAGTAAAATAAAATTGTGTTTTAAGTACCGAGTGGGAGAAACGGCTTTCCAATATTGGTTATACAATAGAAAGATCTTGGCTGCAATGCCATAACGCGTATATACCGTCCCACCTAACGTCTCGGTTTTTGTTTGACTATCCCGACCTGTAGACTAAAATGTCCTGATCATGCAGTGTGACGGTCATAAATCCCGTTTTATTTAATATTAATACAAAATTGTTCATTTCTCAACGGAAGAAGCTCATTCATTTAACACTGGTTTGCGACCAACTTCACTAGTTCAGTTAGAGCAGGGTTCCCAAACTATATTGGCCGCGTGCCAAAATAGAATCGGAAGGATGTTCGCGGGCCGGAAGAGTGTAGTGCCCGAAAGCGCGCGACCAATTAGCTGAAGTTCAGTTTTCCATTTTTGAAACATGTTTGTTTCACTCGTAATATCGCTGTATGTCGCGTCGCATTCCTTCAGAACTGGAATAATTAGATGGTAAAGTGGACAATTCGCTGAAGTTTGATTCTTTTCAATACAGAAATACGAACGCTGACATTTATCCAAGAAACGTCTATTTTCAGAGCCTAGTTAATGTTTGTTATTTGAGATCTATGAGTTTTCTAATACAGCTGATAACTAAATTACTGCCTGATAACAATTGGCGTTATCCAGATCGCAAAACAGTAGAGACAAAATCTGTTAAACACTATTTCACTCAAGCACGGCGGGCCATTCTAAATCGTTACGCGGGCCGGATTTGGCCCGCTGGCCGCGGTTTGGGAACCCTTGACTTAGAGAGAACAACAATATTTTCATGTCCTAATTATTATACGATTAATACGTCAATTTAACATCTCGCGTTAGCTTTACTGCCGTTAAATTCGAATGCCGAAAAGAAATTGCCCGTTAACCAATGTTTTGAATATTACCAATATTTAAACGAGAATATCGGTCAGAGACCGAAGACTTATCGATCGAACGTTAGGGAATCCCTCAAGACAGAAACTGCGGTTTCGATTCATCCGCTCTTACTCCACAGCAACAATGTGTGTCCCATCACTAATTAATCAATATACGACACAATTCATCCAAAATCAATAGGTTTATGGTCCGAGATATGATGAATGTACATGCAAAATTTGAAGCAGATTCAACCACGCCTTCGTAAGATATCGCATGCATCTAACAGACAGACAAACAGACAAATACTTATCAACATGCTTACCGATCTAAAGATCGATAAGTAACAAATACCTATCAACATACTAACCGATCGAGATCGATAAGTAATAAGTTGAATATTACTAAGCCTACGAATTGAACCAAGGTTTATCCAATCCGTATTCTCCCGTTGTTTTGTTTTGTATATGGTAAGCCTATGTATATGCGACAGCACAATTGCTAGAAAGTAGGCCTTCAAAAGTAAACTAGGACCGTATATCCTTTGTTTTATGAATATTGAGTGAGAAGATGGCTTAATTATATTTGTATTGTAGTGAAAATATTTTGGCATAAACATCAAAACGAATTTGGACTGTAATAATATGGCAGACTACTAACCAGGTATTCCCAAATCTTTGAGTTCGCGATCCCGCACATTATATTGAGTAAATGTTTCTAGAAACTTTATTCTGCCTACTTTCCTCGGCTGTCAAATCAAATTTACCCACTGAAAATAAACATGATCAAAGTCGGAAGGCGGAGGCCGATTATATCTCGCACTCAGAGTATGAAATCGTTTTTCTCGCTCCTACTCTAGATTTATATGGAAGAAATATTCTTGTATAATGACGTAATACGACGCTTACTCGTGCCTTGCTCCTAACAAGGCAATGTCGAAGTTATCCAAGCTATTCAAATGGTTCGAGAATAAAGCAAAGTGGCGTTGGAAATAGCGCATGAATTTATGTCTCACTGCAAATGCCGCAAAATTTCATTTAAAAAATATATATATATATTTGGAAATTTTTTTTTTTTGGTGAGGCATGGTCCCCCAGCACCCCCTCCCTAACTACGTCTTTGTTAGGCATTGTATTTTGTGTTCATTACTGTGAAATATTAATAATTTTTGCTATTTTTTCAGCAAGAACAATCACTCAGCGATGCCAACTTTACTTTGACCTGGGGTCGCAAAGCGAAAGATGAATTTTCAGAAGCCGATATGAACGCTTTGAACGGTTAGTAGGATGTATTTTTATGAGTTTAAAATTTAAATTTCTATTCTGAATATTTGTTATTTAAATGTGGAGGAAGTCGCTAAAGGGCTGTCACTTTCAAAATCTCTCGTTGATACTCGATATTTCAACAAATACTTTGCTGCTTTATTTTGAATAGAGGAAAAACTTTTTGGATCTTTTGTACAAAGCCCCGCCAACGCTTAAAATAAGAAAATTAGTAATTATCCAGTAAGGGTTAGGAATGCTGATTGCGCGGGTGATTCGAATTTTTAAATCATTCCTAACGCAACTGCACAATCACTAATTTGTTATTTCAAAACGCGGCGACGGTGTTTTCTGAAATCTTACATTTTTGCATCTGTGGCTTTGTACAAAAAATCCCAAATATTTTGCCGATGAAAGAGGTCGCTTAAAAACTATCACTTTCAAAATCCATCGAAGTTAGTTCCTAGGTCTCTTTCAAAACTATTTTGCTCTATTCTTGAACGATTCTTTGACGCTTTTTTGATTGCTATCAATAATCCTTTCACCAAATGAACCAATCGTGATAGATAAAAATGGGGGCGTCTGCTTTACGCGTTTCCAACACCATTTCACTCTACTACACTTGAACGATTTACTGATAACCCGACGAATCCAAGCTATATCAATAATATATATTATCAAGAATCCTTTCTCCAAATGAACCAACCGAGATAGATGGAAATTCGGGCTTCAATACTTCGGATAATTTGTCTGTAAAGAGATTTTTTAAAAGATATTATTGAATATTAGCGGCAGCTTTTATATGGCTATGTTCGAAGCAAAAGGCACAAGCGTCGTACTACGTAAGTATACGAAAAAAATTGCCCCCCCCCCTCCAAAAAAATGGGGGGGGGGCTGGCTATGCTCCTGCTATTAGGCCTTACTTCTACGTGCTGTTCATATGTTTGAGCTCTTTCGTTCCTTTACAGACTTCAGGCGTCGACAGCTTCAAGGAATACAAACACTGGGAACAGCGAATCTTAACGAAGCAGATCAAATAGAAGTGAGTGTTGTTTTATGTTTATGTCACAGCTTATTCCTTACCAATGTTCCCCCGACCTTTGACCCCTGGAAATCTCTTCCCATGCTTTTTTTCGCTTTTGCAAGTTGGCACCTATAAACTAGTTTAGATGTTTCAAATTATCATTTTGATTCAAAACATTCAGCAAAGTTTATCCTAGTCACTCACAGCTATTCTTGACTAATTTTGATATGTGCAATTTAACTAAAATTCCTAAGAAGACAAAATATTTCGTGAGTTATTTGATTCCTACTTTCCGAAACACAGCTAAAAACTTGCAAATAGCATTTAAAATAGCCAAAACGAAGATATGTGCTGCTGAAACGTCTATTGTTACGTCGGATGTCCTCCCTCCTCCCAAGTCCTCCCTACTTTTAAAAAATAAAAAAATGAAAAATCTGTGTCACACATAACAATTTTTGGCAGCTTGAAACGCTATTTATACCCTCAAGACTCTAAATTTCACAATAATCTCCCCCCCCCCCCTCCCTTCGAAAATTCCTCGTTCAAAATTAATTATGATATCCAAACCTTTCAGTACAACAGCATTACCTCGAGCATGGACCAAACTTACAGTACTTCATGCGCTACACTCGACGACGGAGAATGTCATCCACTCGACCCTGGTAAGTGATTGTTTGATAACAGTGATAATTGAATGCTATTGTGATATGTACAATAGATAAGCAGGTGCATGTCGTTTTTCGTCAGTGTATCAGTTCAGGTCAAGCGTTGAGAAATGTATTAGTAACCTATCCCAGGGCTGTGCATCAGGCAGCCGCAGGCCACAATCCGGCCCGCCAAGCCATTTAATGTTGCCCTCGTCAACATTCAGATTCAAGGATAAAAACCTAATTGGACAGTTTTTTCAAAACAGCGCTCACGTGGGTGAAAACATTATGTTTATTTCTCTTGTCGCCGCGTTAAATCTTTCACCGTTTTGCTAGGTGTCTTTAATACTGTAATGCGTTGGGTATGAAATAACTAATTTTTTGTGTGGCCCATCTAGATGTCTGAAGTTGAAGAAGTTACGAGTTGTCCAAAAATTTCGCCCGATTTTATAGTAATAACAATTGAAAGTTTTTTTTGTCTTGTCTGTTTATTAATAGTTCTTATTGTGCTTATGGTTCTCCTTTATCATACAATTGTTATTGGACCCGTTTAGTAGCCATAACGATCGTTTCAAAATTTTGTTGTTATTGTTATTGTTATTTGTCTCCGTCTCCATTTTTAAAAAATCGCCTTTCTCTTCGAATACTGGACCAATTGCTTTGATATTTTCAGTGGTTAAAGATAAAATTTTTCTCCAGAAGGCTATCACTTTTTTTTTTTCGCTATGACGTCATCAAAATTATTGTCACTGGGTGGCGCTACGTGTCCATATATTTGAGCATAGCTCTCTTGTTTCTATAAAGTCGGGCGACATTTTTTGACACTCTGTATATAACATAGAATATTGTGGGGTGGGGTAATAACCATAGTTCCCATATAGTAGGGTTAGTTTATTGCCCCACCTGTTAACTTATCCCAACCAAGGATGAGAAAAATCACTATTGGTGGGGTATTCAACTTGTTTCATGTGAATGTACTTTGGCGAAACCCAGTTTTGGCGAAACCTCGACAGTGCTGTCGGACATGTTATTTTGTTGTTATGAAAAAAACGCCCTCTTTATTCACTGCCACTACTGGAGTAATTGCTTTGAATTTTCCAGTGGTTAGAGATTGTATATTTTGCAAGAAGGCTATGACTTTTATTTGTTCCTGAATTTTCTGTGAGATCTGATTGTTCATCTAAAACTAGCTGTATAACTTTTGATTGTGGGAACACGTTTTATGACACCACGACAGCCTATTCCCCGTTTTTATGACATCGTGACGACTGGTACCTGTAGTCTGATGCGACAGATTGCATACCTCCGTACAACAGCGTTTTGGATTTCTTGTCCATATATTTGAGTATCTCTCTCTTGTTTACAACGATATTCACTATCTAACGGTGACGCCGTTATCGAGGTAGCGCAAAGAAGATTATTCAGGAAACTATCACAGTGCAAAAACATATCCAATTACTGAGTAACGCGTGCGGGGAATATTTCCTAAAGCCTGCTTCTTTGTTGATTTTCACTTTTCACGCGTCCGATGTCGTGAATAATCGAATCTCGTCTATTTATTCCATGGGTGTTTTCAGATTTGGGGGGTGGCCAATATTTTGTTGTTATCGAAAATACTACCTGTAACTCACACCTCGAAACACCCCTTATTGATGGGTGGTGTCACTGTTGACAACACCGTTGTACAATTTGCGTTGACATTTCATTTTTGAAAAAGATTATCGTGGGACAATAAAGGAGAGTATTATTAAATCCATGCATCTGAAACGAATAACTGGCTAATCCCACGCCCGACATGAATTGGTAACCGGACGAGAGGCCGTGGTTCGCCGTATGATTAAACTGTCTTATCGGCTTTACTCTTCCTCGAAATTAATATGAAAATTCCATCCGACGCATAACCTTCTATTCAACCATTTTATTCGCTGTAATCCATGCCTTAAATGACGTCATAGAGGTTTCACAAAAGTTATTGAAGCGGAACAAAAATTCAAATATGTTGTTTCAGACTGAGTCGCCATTGTTTACCCTCCGTATTGGTTTGCGGAATGGAATTTGTATATTTTTGTTGTTTTGTAAAAAAATTCCTGTGTGTTTACATATATTCAATCCGATAACTATTGGCCAAATCTTCTCGAATCTTACATATTTAAAAATGTAAATGCCACAAATACCTTGACAGCTATTTTTGGTTTATTTTTGCCTACTTTCTCGAGAGCCGTTTGAACCCAAGTTAATTACAAATGTTGCTCTTTTGGAAAATTTTAATTTTCGCGGCTTTTTATTGATTTGAGTTTCACCAAAGTTATTGGAATGTAAACCAAATATGTTGTTTCAAAGTGGGATTTTGTTATCAAGAAACTTTGATTATGGGTCGCGAAACGTTTTTTTTTCTGATAATTTTGCCAATTTCATCTCAAATATTTTTGATTCTTCAAAATTTTGCCATCACATAACGATTCCGTATAACTGTGACATACGTTTGCGCATTACTCCTATACATTGTCAACAATTATTTGAGCGGCGAAGTGATCCCATGATAAATTGATGATTTCATGCACGAAAAATGAATTTTAACTGGATCATCAGGGCCGGATCATGCTTATTTGAGGTTCTAAAGACTTAAGACTTTAGTGCCCTAATAATGAAACTGGCATCATTTTCGGAAATAGGTATTATACCAACAAACATGTATAGTGTTTTAAAATGATACTTGAGAACGAATAATTAGCAAAAATTTACTTCAACCGGACCAATATAGAGGTCTGTGTCGTTTAGCGAACTCGAATTATTGTAATTGACAATGAGACATCATTAGAATTGGCCATGAAAATTTCTCTGGTGCCCTCAGCACGTGCTTATTTTGCCAATGGCTAATCCAACTCTGCCAATAATAAAATGAACTGTCGCCGTAAAAGCGTCTCGGTTCAACGGCGAAAGCTACATTACAAAGAGCGAGATCGTGCTCAAATCCGCACGCCTGTGGTAAACCGATCCCCCGATAACAAAACTGTTTACAAGAATTAGATTTTTTTAAACCAGAATGACGCCAGCCTACATGACTTACCGCACGTTTACTGCGGTGTTGTGGAATTCCCGAAACCCCGATTCACGAGTCAATTCGAGTCACGAGTCCAATACGCAGCCGAGTCAATCACTGAGTTAAATCTCACTAGCGTTTAGTCGATGACGAGTTATTCCGTCTATCTGACCGGTGTCACTTTGACTTGTTTATAAATGGTGGTTCTGGTCCTCTGTTACGTTCCTTATTACGCTCAGCGCCAGTAAGGGCGAGATCCTGCTACGATCATCCACCACGAATACAACACGCAAGTCCCTTGTGACAAATAACGTATACAACAACTTAAAAATGAAATGATTACACGTAGTACAGCGCGCCTAAAAATCGCGAAGAAAAAACCGCTACACGCATGAGCGAGTTGTTTAAAGTGTTTACATGTAATACACTAATAAACTGGCGTAGTTTCGTTTATGAACAACGAAATTTTGAAATAAATTCACGCAAAATGGGGATATCGTCGGGCGCCGTTAGAACAACAATCCCTACAGTCATACTCGTTAAGTATTTCACGATTGAACGCATTTGAACCCGATACATATTGTTGTTGTGATCGTGCCTACTCTATTAATATCATTCGTACTACGACGCCGATAATCAGTAAAGCGTTACCGGCCGGAATAATCCCTACCTAAGTAAACAGTTCTAATTCTGCAAATACTCTCAATGCCACGCTTCATTGCTAATGACACGCTTTCTCAAATCCCGCAGTTAGACCGATAAATAATCTTACTTGCGTGAGCCAGATGTATTGTTTGCCTAAAATAGTCGCAGTTTCTCCGGATTTATAGCTTTGGCTGACATGTAATAAATTATTATAGTGGTTCACAAACTGTGGGTCGCGAACGTCAGTGGGGTCTCGTTGAAGATTTTCCCGCCAACGATCTGAATGAAAAAATTAGTAATTATCCAGGTAGGGTTAATAATGCAGATTGGGCTGAATATTCAAATTTTTAAATCATTACTAACCTAAACTCTAACCCTAAAACTGAATAATCACTTATTTGGTATTTAAAAACGTGGCTGGGTCTCAAAACAATGTTAAGGCCCGATTCTGCCGGACTATATCGGCAGAGGGTATATTCACTTAGATAACACAAGACAGTCCCCGAACTCGTAATAGAACTAAAATAAGGAAAATCTGAATAAAATTATCGCCTAACACTAACCTGGTACACATACTACGGGTTTCGCAATAGACAAAACAAACATCACAACAATGAATAACGTCGTTTTACGAGAATCTTAATTATATTGCCAATATACAAAGCTTGCCAAAATAAGTAGTAAAATAAACTTGTTTCAAACGTATTGACTGGCAGAAGCAGCTTATCAACATTGGTAAAACAAGAAATCGTACCGCAAACTTCATAACTTGCGCAAACGTAGCCGCCACAAAGTACGCACTTTTCCTGACGTCGTCGCACGAAAAAACGAATTCCATAGAGTAGTAATTATCCTGTTAGGGCTGGGAATGTAGATTGCGCTGAATATTCAAATTTCTAAATCATTCCTAACCTGAACTCTAACCCTAACTGGATAAACACAAATTTGGTATTTAAAAACGTGGCTGGGTGTTCTTCTCAAAGCTTACATTTTTGCATCAGTGGGGTTTTGTACAAAAGATCCAATCTTTTTTATTTGCTAGCTAAATCGTTATTAACATATTTCTAATCAAAATTTTATTTCTCATAGTTTAGAGCTGGAGTCGATTGTAAATTCCACCTGGCTTCACAGTTTTCTATACCAGTGGTCGGCAAGCACCGGGCCGCGACCCATCGCCGGTCCGCGGAAAGATTACTACCGGTCCGCAGAAACGTGGCACAAAAGACGGACAATGTCCTAATAACATGTTTAGATGATCAACAACTCAAACAATAATTAGTTTAAAAGAGTCTGCGATTTATAGGGTACTTCGGCAGTCTTTTGGGCAATACTTCTAACTGAATACCCCGGCATTGCAAAAAAGCTTTACAGGCATTTTTGCATCTATGTGAAGTATTTCTTAAAGATATTATAATCAAAATTTGATTTCTCATAGTTTGGAGCTGACGTCGATTGTAAATTCCACTTGGCTTCACATTTTTCTATACGATACAAATAAGACAAATCACAGTGTAAATAATGTCGTGACTCAATAGCGCCACCCAGTGTGTTCTTCGTTGTGTCAATAAATTGCCAAACATTTCTGCTGCCCAGAGCGAGTTTCTGATAATAATGCACCTTAAACTTAAACTTAAAAAATAATTCGGGCAATAAACAAATTATAGATGTAGTTATACGTGAGAATGAAAAAATTAAATGTCAAGTAAGAGTGAAATGTTTGAATTTTTGCGCTAAATCACGCAATGATCAATTGAGCACATTGGCGGGAAAGAGCAGTCAGCCATTACTGACTCACCATCACCACAATCAGTCACGCAAGACTATATTCTCAGCTTTTACCTCGATCACTTCGAAAAAAAATCAAATCACTTTGAGAAAAAGGGTACTCCCGTAGTATGTGTACCAGGTTAGGGTTATGCCTTTATTTTATTCCGATTTTCTTTATTTTAGTTTTATTACAAGTTTGGGGACTGTCTGTGTTAACCAAGTGAAATATACCCCCTGTCCATAGGTTTCAGTTCCTTTACACAACTTGATTTAAAATAGGCAAACAAAATTAGTTACTTCCATATCGGTACACATACTTCTGAACCGCCGAAAAAAGTGTGATAACGCGAACTCTACAACTTGGATCTTCTGCTCCCTATAACGTGCTTCTCGAGGCGGCTGTCCCTGTGGCCCTCCCTGATCGTGGGTAAAGTGCTTTGCCAAATCTCTGGTCGGACACGGCTTTCTCCACCATTCCCATACACAGGGCACAGTTTATTCACACTATATTTGTTTTCAGACCTCACCGAGATCATGCGTTCCTCACGTGATTACTATGAGCTGAAAGCAGCATGGAAAGGGTGGTACGAAGCGTCCGGACGACCTATCAAAGACGACTATGAACGATTTGTCGAGTTGTCCAACCAGGCCTATGCGTCAGATGGTAAATAGAAATTAGATAAGAATAGTTAATACAAAGGGTACTAGGGCATGGTTTACTGAACTGCAAGTCCTTCCTCCTTGTTTACTTCCTACTTCGGAACCGTATGTGTCAGTTGCCACAAGGATACGTCTTTTACGCAAAATAGCGAGTTTTTTTTGTCTGAAGAAGTTTGAAACTTTGTTGATAATACTTACTCATGATACAACATACAAACGACCAGCAAACAATTACAGAATTACATTTATGTTACTGTGCAGCAAAGCTTTTAGGTCGAAGCGTATTCGAGTATTTTTAAAAATGAATATTCTATTTAGTCGACCCTAAATCCGGACAAAGTATGTTAAGTATTGAACGAAGTTTGTTTTGTTTATTTTGTGTTGCTCGCATGCGCCACCTTAAGTTTTGCACGTTCGTTGCAATTACATGTTCATCTAAAATTACGTGCTTCCTAAAAATAAGACTTAGCCTGATTTCAAAAATGTTTTTAATATAAGCCCTCCATTTGAAATAAGTCGATACCAAGAATTTTTTTGGCCTAGTCGATAGCAAAAAACTCTCCTACACGATTTGAATGATTAAATCCTGTTTGAAAAACTTGTATTTCTTTACTTTGTGATATTTTTTTAAAACATGAAAATAAAAGACATTCCCCCTAAAATACGCCCTAGTGTTTTTTTTTCAAAAGAAAATTGAAATAAGACCGTGTCTTTTTTTCGGCATTATAATTGGACCGGCGTATTTCATATGGTCGTTCTTTCGCGGTGAATATATAACGATGAGTTAGTGAAAGGCTAATCTTTACAAGCCTGCATGGATCCATTCATCTGCATCCATCAAGCTTAAAATTCTAATCTAACACTTTTTATTAAAAAGGCGCACACATGGATAATAATACACCATGTTCTTTTTTGTGCTCTTTTTTTTCGCCGTTTTGCCTATATTACTGCGAGGCTGAACGATGACGCATTCTCGTCTCTTACCTTTCTGGCCAATTTTTTGTATGACTAAATGGCTGGAAATGGTTATCGGCTCCCTTATTGCACGCGATGCTTGAGCTATATTTTATGTTTTTTTGCATGTGTTATATTGTGTTTGATTCGTTATTTCCAAATTATCGTTTTTGTTGCTGTTACCAGTTTTGTCTCTGTCAGGTTGTACTGTCAGGTAGCAAGTCCTACGCGGTACAAATGTATTCCCAAATTTTGCTTGTTATTGAAACTTAAGGCACACCTGATATGACAGGTATTATATCAGTCATTCAACTTTTGTTCCAATATATTTGAGCAATATATATTCAAGTACATTTATTGGAACCAAATATTATTGATTACTAGTTTGAATAGGATAGTTCAGGATTTGCAATTTATCCCGGGTGGGAGGAAAGGCTTTAAGATTCAAGCCTTTTAAGATTTTAATGTTGATTAGTCCACTTAGACACGCTGTGCTGAGAGCATTAGACTCTTTAATCCCTTACAAACGCAGCAATATTTTATTTTTATTTTTAATATTTTAACAATTATGTTTTCTATGCTTAGGATATGCGGATACGGGAGCGTACTGGAGATCTTGGTATGAAACCGACAACTTTGAACAAGTACTAGACGCTCTCTGGGACGAGGTAATGACTTGAAAATTTTGATTCGCTTTTATAAATGAACATTTGAATGTTGGGGAGGACTCAAATCATTGACTAATATGTAGGTTAGAAGTGTGGAAAATGGAAGATTATAGTCTGATCGTCATTGATGACGTCACCAATAACAATGATGACATCATAAAATTTATTTGCCAACAACATAGTCTGAATCTAATATTATTCCGAAAACCATATATTTCAACAAAAACAGTTGGTGTTTCACTTCATAGCGCCATCTTGAGTATGTAAAATTTCTTATTTCAGCTCCGACCGATGTACAACGAACTCCACGCATACGTCAGAAGAAAATTGTATAATTTCTACGGGCCTGATTTCATAAACTTGAATGGACCAATCCCGGCTCACTTGTTCGGTAAATTGTTACGTCTTTTTAGTTTCAGAGTTGAGAGTTAATCAGAATTGAGTCTGGTCATAATTAGGCACGGAATGGACATATGGGTCGTTTAGTCATTATGTTTTTGTTGTTCTTGTTGCTATTTTCCTTGTTATCGTTATGAAAAAACATTGCTTTTTTCATTTTATACTGGACCAATTTTTTTTTAATAACTGAGTGATTAAATATTGTCTTTGTCGCTAGAAAGCTGTTACTTATTTTATAATTTCAAAAATTTATGTGGCTTCTATGGGCTTTATTTTTTTGTGCTATTACGTCATGTGCGGTACCGCTATTCTGCTGTGGCAGATAGCATACCCATACTACTTCGTTCTGGCCTCCGTTTTCATATATTCGATCCTCACTCTCTTGTTTCAGCTGGAGTCGTTTGAAAAATAGCATAAATTCATATTTTGTTCATATGTAATTTATTGTGGTTGTGTGAGTGTGAATGCGTGTGTAAAATAATTTAATAATTTTAGGTGAGTGAACGCGTACCACTTCTTCTTGACAAAACCTTCCATCTTATATTCTGTATGTTTGAAACCTGCTCTACGGTTTTGCTTGCTCTCCTGATTCATAGTTATTTGTTTTTATCAGTCATTTTATTGTTATGCCGATTAGGGAGTCGAAATAAACTTATACTTATGTTTTACGAAATTTAGCTGAAAGTTGATGATAAGCATGTTCCCCACGCTGTATACACGCCAAATATCGACCGTCAATTTAAACTCAATTTTTGTTTTACATCCAGGTAACATGTGGGCACAGCAATGGGGCAACATCTACGATTTAGCTGAACCGTACTCCGGGAAATCAAGCGTTGATGCAACTCCTAATATGCTTGCACAGGTTAGTACAAGGAAGAGTTTTTTTTTTTACATTGTCGGGAAATGTTTTAGGACAAAGCGGGGAACGTTTTGCAAATAGCGGAGAGTTTTCTGACGACGGCCGCACTCAGAAAATTTGCAAAAGGTGGCATTGAAAAGATTACTTTATTTTTCAAAAGTTCCCTAACATACAGTTATACATACCTCTATGATTGTGTCGAATTTATTAGTAGTTGGCAGAGTCTTGATGGATAAATGCCTTTTTCTTTCATTTCAAAATGGTCGGAGGGTTACGGCCATCAATCCCTTTTAGCTGGATTCACCCTTGTTGTGTAGAGCCTGTTTTGAGTGAAAGCGTAAAAAAAAATTACTTTCAGGACTACACAGCATTGAAAATGTTTGAAGTATCTGAAGAGTTTTTCACGTCGATAGGACTGGAACCGATGACAGAAAAGTTTTGGAATTATTCCATGCTTGTAAAGCCTGCGGATGGCCGACCAGTAGTTTGCCACGCATCAGCTTGGAACTTTTATGATGAGGATGATTACAGGTACAGGTCAATTCTATTGTATCTGGTGTATCATGTCTTTTTATACTGCGTAATTCTTAAGTAGATACTGTTACATTTTTGTGTCAAATGAACATAAATACATTCTTACACACATACGCACACACCCACCGCCACAAACACATAATTGTGTCCATACTTGGTGCTTAACTAAGGCTTTACCGGTACCGATAGCGATCTTCGTGTCCATATTCGGTGCTCCGAGATATCAGTGGAATCTTGTAGGTCTTGTTTGGAGAGAGAGCCGTGAGAAAGAATCGTATAAAAAGTGTCCCCCTGTAGATGTTTCTCAGAGCATCGATTTTCTTGTTTGATCGTAACGATGATCAATTAGCAATAAGCAACAATCAAACATTCAAACATAGCTGTAAACATTGCCTCGTTTTCGTCGTTTTGAGCGTTAATTTTTAGTTGTATATCTAAAGATTAGTTGTAATCAAATAAATTGCTTGTCATTATGTTTTCCGAGAACCTTTAGTTTGGTTTTAATAATTCTTTCACTCATAATCAAAATTGGTCTTGAAAAAGATACGATGAACTAGACTAAAATTAGCTATCAGTACCTTCAAAAGGCACGTGGGTATATATTATCAAATTGGGGCGCTTCAGGAGTATGTGTACCGGATGGTGCTCAACCTGATAACCGTAACCTGGTACACATACTAAGTTCAGAGTTCAGGTTGTGCGCCATCTTGGTGCACATACTTTGGGAGCACCAATATTGGTTTTAAACATGTAAAACAGTTTGAAAACGACAACTAGCAGAAGCACATTCAAAATAGGTATCAAAAATCTCTCAATAGTAAAATATAAAAAAAAAATTCCTGGGGTCAAAAGTCGGGGAAACATTAAAAAAATATTACAAAATAGTACTATTATCGGTAGTGTTCATTTTTTCTCATTCCTAATATTTGTTTTCGTTATTGCTTCAGAATTAAGCAATGTACCGTTGTCAACATGGAGGACCTGATCACGGTCCACCACGAGATGGGCCACATCCAGTACTACCAACAGTACAAGGATCAGCCGGTGCCGTACAGAAGTGGAGCGAACCCAGGATTCCATGAAGCTGTAAGAACTCATTAGTTCAATCTTTTATGCAGTGTTTTCCAACCGGAGGTCTATGATCCCCTAAGGGGCTTACAGAGCATTGGTATGAAGCCACAATGCTAGGCGCAAAGATGATTATACATTTTATTTTACAAGGGAATTATATTTTCATTTTTATCCCGTTTTTATATTTTCATTGTTCGATAAGGATATTTCACAGGGTGTTTTCACTTTGTTGAGCAGGAATTGTTTGGACATAATGAGATTTGAAATCTACCAATCATATTAACATATAAATACCACTGGAATGATAAACGGAGGGCCATGAGTGCTAAACGTCTCTGAAAGGGGGCACAATCCATGAAAGATAAGGAACCACTGCATTTATGAATCTTTATCTAGTGTTCACACTCTGATATCAGTGTCAACTTTTATCTGACTTTGTTCGAAGCAAAGGGCACGAGTTAGCCTTGTACTATGCCATTATAAAAAAAAATTGGCCCCCCAGAGATGAGGTCCTAGAGCTTAGCCCGATGCGTCACACCGCCGAGTCAAATTAATGGCAGATTCTTACATATCATTAGATATCAGTGATTTGTTAGGAGCAAGATGCGTGAACAACCAGATATAAAAAAAACTGCTTTTTATGGCGCTCACGTAGTATGTGTACCAAGATGGCGCACAACCTGATAACCCTGATCTGGTACACATATTATGTTCAGGTTGTGCGCCATCTTCGTACACATACTACGGGGCCACCCTCTTTATTTTATCTAGGTGGGAGACACGCTGTCACTGTCAGTAAGCACACCAGCTCATTTGCAAGAGATTCAGCTTCTCGATTCCGTGGACGACGATCCTGATGCCGATATCAATTATCTTTTGAGCCAAGCTTTGGAAAAAATTGCGTTTCTCCCATTCGGTTACCTCATTGATAAATGGAGATGGGGTGTCATGGACGGTTCAACCCCGAAAAGTCAATACCAAAGCAAGTGGGATGAATTAAGGTGGGTTTATGGCATGGCGGTTTGTCAGCTGGGGCATATCCAGGTTGCGGATGTTCGCGGTCGCTCATGATCCCAGTATATATTTTTACAGCGAAACATTGTCTAATGATAGAACGGTACCCAACCTTTTTCAATACATTTGTTACGTCAATACATTGTTTTGGGTATTCTGTATCTCTTTATATCTCCTAACTTTGTTTTAGACTTTGTTTCTAGTATTTGCTTAATTCCTTAGCAAGTGATGCGTACAACTCGCGGTACTCCCGAAGTATGTGAACCAAGATGGCGGACACCGGAACGTGGTATGTGTGCCAGGTTGGGGTTAGGCCATAATTTCAGGTACAAATACTACGGGAGTCACTTAGCTAGTCACCGAATTGGTAATTGAACAAAAATAGGGAAAATTGGAATAAAATTATGGCCTAACCCTAACCTGGTGCACATACTACGTTCCGGTGTCCTCCATCTTGATTCACATACTACGGTATTACCTAACTCTCACTCAATACAGTTCGAATAGTTTCTGTTATCTATTTCGATTACTATTATTAAAATTATCAACTCTCGATAATAGCTAACCGGATCCGGAGAATGCTTCATTGTCATGTTTTAAACCATTGTGAGGTTTATTTACCTATTTTTATTTTCAGACTTGAATATCAAGGTATCGTTCCTCCTGTGGAAAGATCAGACGCCATTGACTTTGATCCAGGTGCGAAGTATCACATTCCAGGGAACACTCCGTATATTAGGTTTGTGAATATGTTTATTTCGTGAGCACTGTGGTCTCGTGGCTGGAGAAGAGGCAGCAACAGTACGGCCCGTCGGGCCACAGTACCGCTCGTCAAACTTATTTAAGTGGCCTGTTAAGACTTTATATCGCATTATTTTTTATTTACTTTTCTAATTTGTAATGACTCTATCGGCACTTTTGATGTTGTGTCTCGTCACACTTAGATGAAATTTCGTTTGATCAAGATTTAATAACGTGATATTACCCTATTGTCTATTGGCGCCATGCAGTGATTAAAAAAAGGTTTGCTCGATGGCTTGGCCGACAGTGTCACCATCATTTTAGGTTCTGGCCCATTGCGATCAATAGTTGCACGTCAGATTATACGCCAGGTGTCTAGGCATTTATTATTGGATTCGAGCCCCATGCCCACCCTCCCAGCCAGGGTGTAAGAAATTTGCATGGGAGAGGGGACAATGCCGGAAAAAAGTAACACCTCGAAGATTATTGGCTGCTATCTTGTTCAAGTCTTGTTTATAAGAAAAGACATGAAGCGTCCTATACAAAATTAGGTACTCCCGAAGTATGCGTACCAAGTTAGGGTGAGATTTTTTGTTCCGATTTTTCTTATTTTAGTTCCATTACGAGTTTGGAGACTGTCTGTGTTAGCCAAGTGAATATACTTCCCGCCCATAGGTTTCAGTCTCTTCACACAACTTGATGTGAAATAGGTGAACTAAATTAGTTACCCCCATATTGGTACTCATACTTCATGAAAATTCGTTTTGAGTAGTGTCATAAATAATAAATTTGAGTAATAGCAGCTCCAAACATGGCTTTGGGTGCTTGCTTAGAGCCTTGTGCTTGAAGGTGTAACAACACCCCACTAAAAATACGGCGCTCCGTGTATGTTTGTGTAACAATATGGAAGTAACTAATTTTGTTCGCCTAGTTTACATCAAGTTTTGTTAGGGGACCGAAACGTATGGGCAGGGGGTATATTTACTTGGCTAACACAGACAGTCGCCGAACTCGTAATAGAACTAAAATAAGGGAAATCGGAATAAAATTAGTCCTAACCTTGTAGACATACTACGGGAGTACCAAATATACACCTCAAATGAAGTGACGGACATGGAATTCGAACCCAAGCTCGAATTTGGGCACAATTACTCACATTTTAAAATTTGTTACAGATACTTTGTGAGTTTTGTCATCCAGTTTCAATTCTATCAAGCAATGTGCAACGAGGCGAACCATCAAGGACCTTTGTACAAATGTGATTTCTACAAGTCAAAGGAAGCCGGCCAGAAACTCGGGTAAGAAATGTAGATGTAGGAGTTAAAATATCGAACACAACCAGTTATGAGATTTAAAATTTTAAAAACAAATTATCTTTTGTATAAGATAGTTGACAGCAGGTGGACTTGCGAGAGGGGGTTAGGGGAGGGAGGTATAGATCATAATCTTATTGAATTGCCGTTACCCTATCTTCTTTGTATTAATTGATTCTGACTTTCATGAATTTTATTTTGTCAAAGCAAACATTATCCTTCCTCGTTGGTTAGGCACAGAAATTTATATGGTATAGGATGGGTGTCCATCTAAAATAAGATTCACAAACAGGGTTCTGCGGCCCCAAATGATTGAAAATCTGGTCTAGATCCCATTCCGAAGCCAAAATATGTTTTAAAGAATATCATAAAATAATTTCATTTATCTCTAGCGACATGCTTAAGCTTGGATCAAGTTTGGAATGGCCTGAAGCGATGTTCCAGCTGACAGGGACTCGAGAGATGTCGACACTGCCCTTGCAAGAATATTTTGCACCGTTGACCGCCTGGTTGAAAGAACAGAACGAAATGAATGGAGACGTTTTGGGATGGGCTGAAACGGATTGGAGACCAAGTAAGTAGCAAGTACCTCACCGTTACCAGTAGCGACCTTTGTATCTACACTCGGTGCTAAGCTGAGGCCGTACCGTTACCTATAGCCCCCACCTTTCTTGTCCAGTGTCAGTGATCTGCTGTGACATTTTCGTAACGATAGCGACTTTCGTGTCCTCACTCGGTTCTCCGCTAATGCCTTGCAGGTAGGGCTGGGCATTTTCGAATACCTGATAATATCAGAATTGAATCGAATATTTTTTTTTTAATATTTTTTGGGAGTCAATGAGAGATACGTAATTGTATGCGCCTTTTTTATTGCAATTGGTCTTGTCAACGAATGAATTACTGAAAACATAGAATACATCCCTCAGACAGATTGCTAAGCGTTCACACACAATAGAAAAACGTTTTATCAATAAATCACTACAGAAAATAGTCATATGTCAGAATAGCGTTGAAAAAATATGGCTTCAATAAAAAAAATTGTGATATTCACCCTGACCATTGGCGGAAAAAAAAAGATGGCGGCGTTCGAAACACGGCTCTGAACTGATTCGAATAAATAACCATTCGATTCGATTCGAAATGCCCAACTCTACTTACAGGTACCAATAGGTTGCCTTCCTATCCACACTCGGTTCTCAGCCTCACCGTTACCGATAACTAACTTCGTGTCCACAGTTGGTGCCCAGCTGAGTCATCACTGTTACCGATAGCGCCCTTTCTATCCACCGCCAGTGCTTATTCAAGTCCTTACCGGTACCGATAGCTCGGCTTTTGAATCCATACATTTAAACATTGTACTCTTATTTCGACTTACAGAGGGATTCAAGGACGCTTCGGGAGCTGCTGCATTTGTGGACACCCAGAACACTCAGGCGGAAAGTGTATTCTATGATGCCGTTGTTGCTGAGTGGAATTACAACACCAACATTAATGAGGATACACAAGCACAAAGCGTAAGTGGAAGGGTATGGGTTTGAATCTGTGTCATTATGCCTGATCCACTCTGTCATGTACGGGCTGATAACTTAGGACGTTTTTTTTTTTGCAAAATTGGGGAGAAATCTATTACTCTTTTAGTAAAATATGACTGTTCATCTAGATCTGTTTTAGGGCGATAAGGGCGACTAGTCACTCAACAACGTGATGGTAATTTTAGATCAAGTTTTAAGATTCAAGGCTGTGTAGTCAATACGACCATCTGATATCAGTTCCCTCAGCTCCGTTATCGCCGATGAATTTATGACATGGCCGCCATAAATGATTGCCGCCTGCAATCTTACCACCGGCTACGTCCTTTTCAATAAAAATCCTAAATCAAAGCCACTTTCATATTAACAGCAATTGAAATCCCAAGCAATGGCAACGTTTTACGCTGAGCAAGGAGTCGCAGCCAAACAATATGACGACAAAGAGGTCACTGACGACCCCACGACTGCTCGGCTGATCAAGAAAATGAGTGACTTAGGAACCGGGGCTTTGCCTGAAGATAAACTGAAAGAGGTAGCTTAATAGGAACGTGCATTTTCCAACATCAATTTGCTCTATTCTTGAAACAATTAACTGAAAACTGACTTTTTCTGACTTGCTATCAATAATCCTTTCACCGAATGAACCAACCGAAATAGCTTGAAATGCAAGAGAGAATTTTATCAAGATTTTTTTGGGTATCAGTGGGTGCTTTATTTATCCCTCTTTAGGGCAAGTTTCTATTGTGGATCACCAGATGACATTAAAATATTCCCTTTCAGCTCTCCGATGTCAACGCAGCGATGCAGACTCATTACAGCACATCAACTGTTTGTGGGCTCGGCGGATCAGACACATGTGTCCCATTAGACCCGGGTGAGTAGCAGTAATGAATGGAGGGCTTAAACCGGGAGTCGCGGATTGCAACAGCCGTGACCTGGACGACACCAACTACACACTAGAATATATTAACAGTCGAATAATGTGGTCTTTTAAGCCCCAAGTTTGTATCATCAAATCCGGAAAATCACACAAGTATACAGTTGATAAGGAAAAGCAGAGTGTTGCAGAAACGCTAATTAATCTCACACTTTTCTTTAATTTTTTCGGTTAAGTTTCGACTTGTACATATCTCGAGTACTCATCATAAATACCAGGTTTCGAAATTTCGGCAAAAACTTAAAAAGTTCAAAAAACGACCAACCCTTGCTCTGGCATCAATAATTATAAAAACATCAAACAAATTCACAGTTTTTCTTTTTCTTCTGTTCACTCGATTCTAAACATACATTGTTCAAAATTTTCAGATCTGACTGCAATTATGGCGACTTCCCGTAACTACAACGATCTCCGGGATGCCTGGTTAGGTTGGCGCGATGCCATATCTGCTGGAGAAACCAGACAGAACTTTGAACGATACGTAGAGCTGAGCAACGAAGCTGCGGTGTTAAACAGTGAGTGGATATTCTAGTCCATGGGGTTCTCAAAACAGGGGGTAGACAATTTTTTGAGTGGGCGTGAAGCTTAAAAAATAAAAATATTTTTCAGATTTGATCTTGCCCACGTATTTTCAACGTGTTTTTTTTTATTAAAACGTACTTTCGCCTTTTTATCAGTTATTGCTAGCTAGTTATTTTTAAGGAGGGCGCGAGACCTGACAAATTCTAAAAAAGGGGCGTGGTCTAAAAAGTTTGAAAATCGCTGTGATCTAGTTGTTTTTTCAAACTTTATTCCTTTGCCACCGAAAGTCAAAAGAAAAGGCCCTCAAGACTTTTATTAACAATTTCGGGACCTTCCAAAGTATGCGCACCAAAATGGCGCACAACCTGAACCTAGGTTGTGTACCAAGTTAGGGTTCAGGTTGTGCGACATCTTCGTGCGCATACTTCAGGAGTACCCAATTTCGAGTATCATAAAAAAGTAAAAGTATCAATGACAAAACTAATCATTGCGTCAATTTATTCAAACCTTGGTTCAATCTCACTGTGGGCCCAATAAATACTCCAGGGCCATTTTTTGTTGCATTCCCATTGGGACCCACCTGTGTCCCGACGAACAACTTGAAGAACTTTGCGACTACAGAATTTTCCTGTATCACGCATAGCAAATTTTTCGTTGCTTGAAATGTATTTCGGACTCTTGGAAACACACAGCCTCCGGCTGGACACGCTAGCTATTACAGTCTAACTTACCAATTAGAAATTTTAGAACTCCCATAAGCCCTAACATGCAAATCAAAAGTCCTGCTCTGCACTAAAACAAATATATTTCTCTAACAATTTATCGGACCAAAATCAGACTTCCTCAGATGAGCAATTTACAAAAATGACCCCTTAAGCCCTCTTGAAGATTCTTGGCTGCGCCCCTTCCAACCACTCTGATATTCTTTCCTTCTTTTCACAGACTACGACGACATGGGAGCGTACTGGAGATCAGCATACGAAACACCAAACTTTGACGAACAGTTGGAAGAGGTCTGGCAGGAAGTTCTGCCTTTGTATGAAAGTCTACATGCGTATGTTAGAAGGTAAGATGACTTCACGTGTTATAGGGCAGGGCTACTCTACTATTTTCAAAGGTCCGTACACAAAACCTAAAAATTACAGCGATCCAGTCATTCCAAATAAAAAAAGAAATCCAAAATAAATTCAAAACTTATTTGAACTATGCAAACGAAACTTCAAATGCATCGTTTGACAAAATAAAACAAAGTGACAAAAAAAATCGCGAAATGCGTAGGTTTTAGTATTCATCCCTTATGGAGTACCAAGTTATGATTGATTCTCATCATTTTTTGGAAACCGATCTCGTCTCTACAAATTTTGAAGAGAGGTTAAAAGGATACTTGAAAACAAAAAATAAGCAAAAATCAGATCAAGTCAAATTATTTTTTTAAACATTAAGGCACTGTTAAAATTGATTTGGCCACTAAAATCTCTGTGATGCCCCATTTCCTTGTTACCCAATATGCCAGCACTCGGCAATCTTCTCAGAGTAGAATTCAGTTTGATCAAAAAAATGCCAAATGGTTTTAACGATGCTAAAGGTCGCCAACCCGTGCGCTATATTGCTTCAATTTTTAATCCATATCTGCGCATAACTCTATTATTCACAGGCGTCTCTACCAAAAGTACGGCGACACTGTAATCAACCTCCGAGGCCCAATTCCAGCTCATATTCTCGGCAACATGTGGGCGCAAGACTGGGCGAATATTTATGAAATCGTCGAACCATTCCCGGGAAAAGTAAGACCTGATGCAACAGCAGCAATGATTGAGCAGGTAGATGCATTTTTGTGTAACTATCATTTGGAAAATAAAAATAGCAGGATCTCTTTTCACGGAATAGCTAGTATATTTTTGAGCTTTCGTTAGATCATAGTCTAACTTCTTCAGACAAAACAAGGTATGGCTTAATCATACACTACACAAAAATAATGGCTATTTTGTTAGAACTACATTATGCAATCCCTTATAAAACGATCTCGTCCAAGCATCATTGTGGCAACTGACACATACGAAGTAGGACATAAACAATAATAAAGGACTTGCAGTTTAGTACGCAATGCCCAAGTAAACCTCATATTACTTGGAAAGGCTGAAATCATTCAGGTCCGGCGTTGCCTACACAATTTATTAATCCATGAGTGAGGTAGTGGGCATGGAATTTAAAATGGAGATGTTTATGCCAGCGGTTCTCAAACTTTATGTTTGTATGGCTCTAAATTATCAGGGGAAAACCATACGGCGCACTTACACGAGAAAATGGTTCCATTACATTTGAACCCACGACAATTGCACCTGCATACTATTGCACCTATGGAATTTTTTTGTTTTGTTTTACGGATATTTGAACCCATACTAACCCTAACCCATGGGTTTTAGCTCCCGCATATAGATTGAACCCGCGGATATACACATGGGTTCAAAAGTATCGTTGCGAAAAAAATAGCTGTCTTTAAATAAAAAGCAATTTATTGATCGTCAACGTGTACTTTATGCCCTTTGAAGTTCAAAATTATGTATAATAAAAGCAATGTCAACTTTGCCTGATTTTCTTTTGAAATGATAAAAATCACTCGGGTTCAGTAGATAGATAATCTGCAGCTCGTGACATCGCAGCAAGTAGGATGGGATTTCTATCGCTATCCCAAATTTATTTGAACGTCTCATGATATTGAAGCTTGCATACACTAGTAATTATAACGTTCATGTTTTCATGTGCGGCGGTATGGCTCAACGAGCTAAGCGTTAGGAATACGCTCGCCACCGCTCCTCTAATTACTCTGCGTGGGTTCGCAGGTTCGAATCCCATGCAGGGATGGTTATGTGCGAGAGGATTGCTGGATGGGCAGATCCTCCACCACCAAGTCCATGCTTCCGAAAACAAACAATATAACTAATCCCATACCGACTTGGGATGGTAACCGGACGAGAGGCCGTGGTTCGCCATATGGATAAGCCGTCTTATCGGCTTTCCTCTCCTCTGGGATAAATATGTAAATCCTATCCTATCCTATATCATGCTGCGTTCATGTATAGTCACAGAGCTTTGGGACACGGAGAAGACTTCCGGATCGTTTTGCTAATATGTTGTTGTTGTCGTTCTTGTTGGTATTTTTCTTCCTGTTTTTGTGAATTCACTACTGGACCAATTGGCTAGAAGTTTTCAGTGATTTAAGGATTGTGTTTTTCGCTAGAAGGCTATTTTATTTATTCCTAGATTTTTAATGAATTCTATGATATCGGTTATTTTGTCCAAAATTCCCCTATATTTTTTTTTCGACGCAAAGCTACGCAGAACTCGGAGATAAATTGTTCCGGTACGTACGGTATGAAAAGTACTTTGTTTTAGACTTTGTGTCCATATAATTGAGTATCGCTCTCTTTTTTATTTTAAGATGATTTAAATGAATAATTATCACCTAGAATTATGTGAATGGTCGCCTTGGTTACAATGATCTAAAGCAGGGCTACTCAACTATTTTTGCCGAAGATCCGCATACAAAACTTCAAAAATACTTGGGTCCAGAAATTACATATCGACATCCTTAATAACGCACTTCATTGACCGATAATTGATTATTAGCTAATCAATATTATTTATTATGGCGTTATAGTTTTTTTCATATTTATTTAAATATATAAAAGTGATTTTATAAAAGGAAACTTTGAAAGTGGGGTTAAGGATCTAAATTAAAGAATTAGGCGCGGTCCGAATCGAATACCCGAAACGTCTGGATTCGGGCCGAGGTCCGCCAGTTGAGTAGCCCCAATCTAAAGTATCCCTGCAATTGGGGAACAGCTGTATATGACATTCAGTCTTAGTGTTCACATATTTTAACTTTCTTGTTCACCACAGGGCTGGAACGCAGACAAGATGTTCCAGGTTGCCGACGATTTTTTCCGAGACATGGGATTGATACCTGTGCCGCAAGAATTCTGGGATGAAAGCATGCTAACGAAGCCAACTGATGGGCGAGATGTCGTCTGCCATGCTTCTGCATGGGATTTCTACAACAGGAAGGATTTCAGGTAGTGTTGGCCCATTGTGCTAAGTCTTAGGAATACGATACGATGCCGTTGCAACTCTGATTGCCATTTCTGGATTCGCAAGTTCGAGTCCTGTGAGTTATAGGATAATTATGTGCGAGAGGATTGCTGGACTTCTCACCAACGTAGGGTGGTTCACGTAACCGCTTGTCGGGTACGGCTTCTTCTACCACCAAGTCCATATATCCGAAACAAATAACTACTTAACTGTATATTATAATAATCCAATGCCGCCCAAATCGTTTTATATCGTTTCATAATAATTGATGGAACCGCATTTTTAAGACATTTAAGTCCAATGATGCCAGATGTTTTACCCATAGAGATCGATATTTGTTTTATGCCCTAAAAATGTGGTCGTTCGAGGGCCGCAAAATTAGTTCCGGGGCCTCGGTTTGTCACCAATGTTTCATTAGGGTTCCGCTACACCAAAGAGGTTAAAAAACCACTGACATATGTATGAAATTTGCCCATTTATTTAGTCATTTTACTCTTATATTCAGAATCAAGATGTGCACGACCGTTAACCAAAGGGACTTCGTAACTATTCACCACGAGTTAGGTCACATCCAATATTTCTTGCAATACAAGGATCAACATGTTATGTTCAGGGATGGTGCGAATCCAGGATTCCATGAAGCTGTAAGTCTAGTATAGTCTCGCGCCCCACATCAAAAATGACTTCCTAACAATAAGCTAAAACTAACAGATAGTAAGGTGAAGTATGTTTTGTTCAAAGAAACACGTTGAAAATACGTGGACATAATGAAGAAATTTAACAATATTGAAATGTAAATATCCAAAATAACCCGGGCAAATCCAACAAACATACTTATTTTAAATTATCTTTACACATTCTCAAAAATATTGTATACGCCCCCTTTGTGGGGCGCGCCCATCGTTTGAGATCCACTGTACAACGTTTTTCAACCTAAAGGAAATTTTAATATTCTTTAGGGAGAAAATGTCGTTCAATATTTGATTTGTAGTTCAACAATATTGTTTTGATATTTAGTTTTATTGAAATACGTAGTATATTATAAACTATTCATACTGTAAAAAACTAGAGTGCGAGTTTCGTGTGTCACTAGCGGCTTTCACCTCAAAAAATTAAATTGTCTAAAGATTAACAAATAACAAAAACTTCTGCACAACAATACTATAAAGACCTATATACGGAGCTTTGAATTGAGATTTCACGGTATTTGGACGTGTTGGGAAGACTCGATTTACTGACTCTATATAAATTGGGAAGATTAAAAGTGACTTGAGTAGTCTAACTGGATTCATCGCCAACTAACCAGTAGGAATATAGACCTTCGACCAGATTCATTGGGCACTTAATACACCCCTGTGTGTGTAGGGCACTAGATTTAGGGATTGGATTTTTCAACTCGAGTATTATTTCAGCTTTAAATAAATTTTTTATTTTTTGATAAGGTTGGAGACACACTAGCACTCTCTGTCAGCACTATGGATCATTTGTACAAGCTAGGATTGATAGGGGAGCCTTCTGACGACAAAGAAACCAACATAAACTACTTGATGAGCCAGGCTCTAGACAAGATCGCTTTCTTACCATTCGGATATTTGATTGACAAATGGAGATGGGATGTATTCAGTCAGGATGTGAGTTTATAAAATTTTCGTTAGGCCGAAGAAGTTTTGTGTTTTTTCGGAGTCAAGAATCCTACTTGGGTGTTGGAAATCGCTTTCTCAACATTTGGGTATTTGTTTGGAAAGTGCAGATGGGATGTATTTACTAAAGATGTGAGTTTGTTGTTAAATTTTGGTTAGATCGGTGACATTGGTATTCCTTGAGGGTGAAGAAAGCCGTAACCGACCAGCGGTTCGCGAACCACCTTACGGCGGCGAGGAGTCCAGCAATCCTCTCGCACAAATTTATCCATATTTATTTATCTTTTCATGAATAGTGGAGGGATAGCCATTGACACTACTTTAAACAACATAGACGTTGAGGCCAAAATGATCGCTTATAACTCTTATATCAGTATTCTTTTTACTTATTTAATAATGAAAGCACTGCAATTTGAATGAAAACGCTTTCATGAAACATAATTTTAAAACACATTTTAGTCCGCAGCGAAGAATCTAAACCAAGACTGGTGGCAATACAGGACCAAGTACCAGGGCGTGGCTCCACCCGTGGAAAGAGCTGAAGATGATTTCGATCCAGCGGCTAAATTCCATGTTTCGAATAATGTTCCTTACATCAGGTATGTCTCTTTTATTTTATTGAACATTTTGCGTAGTAGGGCAATGGAGTCGGAGATAATTTACACCTGACTTCGACTCAAAATTCCGAGCCATTAAAGAGGAAAGCGATTTTTTACATAACATGGACAAAAATTCTAACAACAACTTGACGCAACTCAGACACCTTTCCGTAGAATGCGGAAGGGCTGTAATGTCAGGAATAGGGTCATCCTGAGTTTGCCCAAAATTGATTGCAGGGTACTCTCAAAATATGTGAACCAAGATGACGGACACTGGAACGTAGTATGTGTTCCAGGTTAGGGTTAGGCCACACTTTCAGGAACAAATACTACGAGAGTCACTTGGCTAGTCCCCGAACTCGTAATAGAAGTAAATTGGGGAACTTGGAATAAAATTAAAGCCTAACTCTAACCTGGTACACATACTACGTTCCTGTGTCGGCCATCTTGGTTCACATACTTCGGGAGTACCGATTGCAGTACGAATGTTCAAAACCACAATAAAATAAATGTAATGATCATATGCCTATCCGGTCCCAATTGCCATTTGGAAAAAAGTAATCTAATTTTTTTTTGTTTGTTGTGCAATTTTAGCATATCCCGATACCCGGATTCATAATTTTTGACTCCTTTCACCTTTTCAGGTACTTTGTGAGCTTCATCGTGCAGTTCCAGTTCTACAAATCCATGTGTGACGAGGCGGGTTATGTTGGGCCATTGTACAAATGTGATTTCAACGGCAGCGTTGAGGCAGGAACGAAACTCGGGTGAGTGGTGTAAGGAGTGTAGAATATTATTTACGGAGCTAAATCCGGTCACATTTATTTCGTCGTTCTTTACAAACTAAAAACTCGAAGTTCTTTTCCCGCTTTCGTAAAGCTAGGATTAGTGGTGTGTGGAGTGTAGAGTTAAGTTTCCGGAGCTAAATCCGGCAAGATATAAAATATCGTACTTATTAAATACTCGAATTAAATACTCAAAGTTCTTTTCTCGCGGACGCAAAGCTAGGATGAGTGGTGTACGGAGTGTAAAATCAAGATACCGGAGTTAAAAAGCAAATAGATATATCTGCGAATTAAAAAATTGAAAACCCGAATGAGACTGTAAAATATATATAAAAGCAAACCTAATCTGACACTTCTAATTACCAAGTTAGACCGTAACAGCTAGCGGGTCCGACCGCAGGCAGGAAAACGTGTATTTTCAAGAGGCTTGAGCGGACATGGGCAAAGTGCGGCCCGCGGGCCAAATCCGGCCCGCTAGGTAAATCAATCTGGCCCGTCTGACGCTGCCACAATCAAACTAAAAAACTAAAACCATATTCTGATGTTTTAGCTAGAAAATAGCTCAAGGAATTCGTTGCGATTGCAATAAAATTTAGTTTTGGCACGCGGTTTCATATTTGCTTTTGTAACACTGTAAATATTGTTCATAAAATGTAACTTTTACGTCACACTTACATAGGTGGGCAAACTGTTTGGCCCCTGGTTCAAAAGCCCTGCACACCCCTGGTCTCGAGGCTTTAAAAATCATTTCAAGCTACGATTTTTTTTTATGAATGATACAGAAAAAAAAAAATTTTACATTTTAAAATGAGTCCGACCCCCAAACGCCCCCCAAGGGTACCCCGATTGGGTACGCCCCTGCCACGAAACCCATGGTAATTACGACTGGTCTGAAAACTTTTTCAGAGCAAAAATGCATGACACCCAGAAACTTTAATTATCTTTTTCTTTTGCAGCAATATGTTAAATCTCGGCTCCAGTGTTACATGGGAAGACGCTTTACGTCAAGTCACCGGTAGTTCCCAGATGTCTTCGGCTCCTTTGATGGAATATTTCGCGGAATTGAAAGAGTTCTTAGACACGGAGAATCAGAAATTTAATGAAGTCATGGGATGGCCTGAGTTTGGATTTATTCCCCCAGAAAGTGAGTTTTTTTTTCTGTTTGTTTGTTTTTTAAATACTTTTGAGGTGTGTAAGGCGACATTGTCGCGAGCTGAATTAAAGTGACCTCATCCCAATTTTAAGTTTTTTGAAGGCGAGAATAAGGATAGTAGCCGTGTTGAAATTGTAGTTCCAGAAATAGGGTGTTTTCCTCGTTTTTCATTTTTTTAAAGGCGAGGATAATTTTTTTAAACTTATTTTTTTAAACTATTTTCAAATCTGGGAGTTTTTACATGCTGATTTGTTGAGGGAGGGACTGGAGTGTGAGGGGAGTAACTTTGTCATGGGCTGACCAGACTTTGAATTTGTAGGGCCAATATTTCATTTTGATCGTTTTTCATATGACCTCTGCAGAAATTCCTTCAACATATTTTGCCTTGCGATTTTGCTAAAGTTACTGCCTCCATATTATCTCTTCGACTTTCATTATTAATATATTTCAACATTGCTCTTTTTTCCATTTTAGATACCGTTGTTCTTGAGAACGGTCGCGTCATAGTGGATGACGGAAACGGAGCTACAACTACGTCATCAAATGTATTTGTGACGTCATTAGCCTGTATCATAATGGCACTTTTGAAATATATTACTGAATAATGACTTCAATTTTTTCGTGAATTCAACAAGGATAATTTTTATGCATTTCATTCAATCTAAACCTCTTTTTTGCTAATCCAGAAAAATACATCGAATTTTCAGTTATTTTTACCGCTATCTACTAATATACTGGTAGTTACCAGCTCATATATATACCGTGTTTCCCCGAAAATAGGACCTAACCTAAATTTTAAAAATGATCTTAATATAAGCCTCCCTCTTAGAATAAGACCTAGTCATAAACGCGAAATATTTTTTGACCTAGTCCAAAGCAGGAAATCTCTTCTACACGTTTTAAATGATTTATAACCTATTTTTGCCGTTATTTTGAATGAAAACGTGTTATTTATAAGTAAATGGATATTTTTTTTTTGTATATTTGAAAATCTTTCTCTACTCTACTGTAATTTTGTTTTTGATGAAAGAAAATATAAGACATCCCCCGAAAATAAGCCCTAGTGTCACTTTTCGGAAGAAAATTAAAATAAGAACCGGTCTTATTTTCAGGGAAACATGGTATCAATTAATTTGCGTCAATTTTATCACTTTTTACTAGAAGTAAAATCTTCATTAATCTTCTATAGTTTGTATTTTAACCCTGCAAACTGAGATAGAGTTACTGATGCGTGGCATTCATTTTTAAGCCTGCAAACTTAGACAGATTTACTTGTGCGTGACATTCATTTCAACCCTGCAAATTGAGATATAGAGTTACTGACGCGTGAAATTCATTTAACCCTGCAAACTGAGACAAAATTACTGATGCGTGACATTTATTTTAACTCTGCAATTCAGATAGAATTACTGATGCATGAAATTTATTTTGCCAAATTTTTTTTTAAGCATGATGTTTTGTAACAATCTATTTTTTTTTGTGTTCCATTATTCCACTTTCTTCAATTATGCAGTACCAATTATAGAACAATTAATTGAAAAATTGTCTTTTACTTTCTTTTATTTCGGCTATGAGGCCATGACCCAATGCCAATGTGGTTCTTCTTTCACTCTTCAAACATGGCTGTGAGCGATCGTTCGCTGATATGTTATAAGCTAGGGTTTTTATAGAGATTCAATTCTTCGATTCAGCTTTGCCTACCCTATGTAAAACTTCATGAGAGAGGTTACGCGATGCCAACAAAATCAAGCGCTTGAGTCAGATCGAAGTCGAGACTTCTTTATTACTGTTACAGCATTTTTGCGGTATACGCATGTTGCATGTGTTTTACATATACATATGTTGCATAAGCACACTGATTTCTTTGGAACAGAAGCATAGAACGAGGATGCGTAGCCAGTCTCTCGTAGTAAGGCAGCCATGCTCGTTAAAAGTAGAAGTAAGATCGGGCCCAAAAATTCCAGCCCGGCCTGACCCAGTTCCGTGGGTATTAAACCCGACCCGACTAAATAACTGGATTTGCAGGCCAGAGCCGAAGTAAACCTGAAATTTCATATTTTATTCAGGAGTTTTTGAATTGCCATTGCAAGAGTTTAGTACAGTATGTGTCGTGTTGCTGAGGCAACTCCGTTTTTCTGCAGACCACGGTCTCTCGTGGCCGAAAGGCCTCATTGAAAAAAAAAGTCAGCGATAGAGAAGCCCGACCCATCCGACCCGAACATAATGATTGACATTTCAGGCCCGCCTCGCCACGAATTTCGAGTCGGGTCGGTCTCGGGCTTCAAATCATAGCTCTAGTTAAAAGTCTTGTTGCACATTATCACGAATGAATTGCTGTAACGTTCCGTCTGACCGAGGAAACACTATATAATATATATTATTACAATACACTACAGTATAGTAATAATAATTTACTTTATAATTACTATACACTACAGTATTCCTGTAGGGTGCGTGTAGTATAAAAAAGTATATGACGCATTTAACAATTTAAGTCTTTTGCGCCAGACAATTCAAATAAACTTTTCAAATGTATATAGTACTCTCGTAGTGGTATGTCATAAGTCCTGCAGTATACGCAAATAAATGTATAAGATGTAACGCGCATAACGGACTCATTAGCGAAAAGGCATAATAAAAGAATAGACAGTTAGTCTTTGTCCCAAGAGGTTTAGTGACGTCAGAAAGAGTAGGAAATGTCACATAATTCAAAACATTATAGTAAGAATAAAAAAAAAAGTTATTTTCTAGGGCAGTGATCGTCAGTCGATGTTTTATGGAATTCTGGGATTTTTTTAATGGTTACATTATCTTTTCTCTATGTGTTTTACTTCTAAAACTTTGAGTCACGAGACGTTCGAATCCGGAATGGAGATGAAATGAGTCCCACTGGCGGTTACTCGAGGAATAGCCATTACATTTACGATTTGATATTGTTGAATATGGTAAAAATATATTCAAATATTCTATTTGATTTGAATTTCTGAACTTAGTCAATTACTACATTTCGGGCAGTTCTCGTCTGTAATTCGTTCAATTAAAACTTATGTCGCAACTAAACCTTCTGGCTCGAAAATTGATTATACGAAATATGGTTTCAACCAAATTATAAAATTCAAACATACTCGTTGGCGTATTTCCTACCAATCATTATACTCAATCACTTGACTCTTCAAACGACAAAATCAAAAACTAACCCTTTCGTGGCACCCGGCCAACTTTTTATCTAATTTCTCCAAAATTGAGACTCTCACTGGTGGCTAATTAATTACGAGTACGAGTCGATTCAGTTTATTTATTACGAAATTTCGTTTTGGTAAATATGATAAAAATATATCTGAATATTCGATTCGAAAAAGAATATTCGTACTAATGCTAACTTACAATTACTTTATTTTGCTCTCATCATGACCAATTTCAATTTACCACAACTTTAACCAGCATGACAAAAATTAACCCTTTCTTCGCATCCGACACACTTTCAATCTACTTCGGTGCGAAATCAAGACGAAAAAAGTACACGAAATATACGGTGTATTCATGAATTCTTGTTACAAGCACAATTCTTGGCGCTTCAGAAGTATATGTACCAATATGGAGGTAATTAGTTTTGTTCGCCTTTTTTACATCAAGTTGTGTAAAAGGACGGAAGCCTATGGGGCAGGAGGTATATTCACTTTGCTAACACAGTAACAGGAACCCGAACTCGTAATAGAACTAAACTAAGGGAAATCTTCGACAAACATGACAAAATTAACACTTCTATATACCGTGTATTCATAACGTTCTTTTACAATTACAATTTTGTTATGAAGTCAGTTTTTAAAATATCTTAACCTGATTTGTTTTATTGTAATTAGTGTTTATTTAAAGTGTTTGCTACTTCATTTAATACTCCTGTAGGAATATATTTGGCCTTTAATTTTTGTATAAAGATTTTGTGAACAACCGTTTATGTTTATTTGGTACTCCCGTAGAATGTGTACCAGGTTAGGGTTAGGGCATAATTTTATTCCGATTTTCCTTATTTCAGTTCTATTACGAGTTCGGCACTGTCGGTGTTTGCCAAGTGTGTATATCCCCCTGCCGATAGGTTTCAGTCTCTTTACACAACTTGATGGAAAGAAGGCGAACAAAATTAGTTACCTCCATATTGGCACACACACATCTGGAACGCCAAATTCTGAAATGTAAACTTACTCAGCTTAGCTCGAATCTTCCCGCTGCTTTTTCTATTAACCTTCTGCTCTCAGAACAACAAAAATTAACCCTTTTCTCGCATACAGCCAACTTTTAATCTAATTCCTCCAAAATCCAGACGGAAATAATCTTGTTACGACTTCAAGCCACAAAGCCAATTAGTCGAAAAGGTGAATTCCCTTGAGGGGGTTCGCGGCACCAGAAAAATCTAAAATTAGCATTCTAAAGCGACAGATAAATACAATGCAGGATTTTGAAAAGGTCGTGGGAGTTATATGCAGGGTTCACATCAACATTTTTTTCGTGTTTTTCTTAAGTACAGGGTTTAACTGAACATTTATTTAGCGCGTACTTTCAACTGCAGATTTCTTAAATGCACTTTCGCAATGTATTTTATTCGGCGGAAGCATTCGTACCAAGATGACGCACAACCTTAAAAACCCTAACCTGGTACACATACTATGTTCAGGTTGTGCGCCATCTTGGTACGAATACTTCGGGAGCACCTTTTATTCATTCTTTAACGTAGGGCTGGGCAACATTTTCTTGTAGGTGAGCCATTTAACCATCTTCAGATATCTAGATGAAGCACGAATTACAGTAATAAAGGCACCGGACAAACGCGAAAATATCGACGCATGGACAAGAGCAAAAATCATCATGTATTTTTATCCATGTCAGCACATTTGTCATGATAAACTGTAGAATAAGTATTTTATGCTTGGTGGGGAAAGTCTGAGTGATGACAAGGGCCACACTACATGTCTTAGCGGCCGGGCTGTGTCCCGCGGGCCGCCTGTTGCCTATTGCTTCAATGACATGATTATTACCCTAATTTACTTTCAATTAGTCTGGTATTCTCCCCCTATTTTCTTATCTGTTTACATTTATCGCTTAGTGGGGCGGTTTTTGTGCAACGCTCAGTTCTAACTTTGTGTCCTAGCATTAGGTTTACATTTTTATCCCGGGGGAGAGGAAAGCCGATAAGACGACTCATTCATATGGCGAACCACGGCCTCTTGTACGGTTACAAGTCGGGTACTGGATTAGTCAGCCAGGTATTATTTCAGATGCATGGACTTTTGCTGATATCCAGTCGATTTAAGCCTAGTTGTTAAATAAGAGTAGAGAGAGAGGTAAGCCGATAAGACGACTTAGTCATATGGCGAACCGCGGCCTCTCGTCCTGCTACCAGTTCATGTCAAGTGTGGGATCAGTTGGCCAGGTGTTAGTTTGAGGAGCGTGGACTTTTGCTGCTATTTAGCCTAGTTATCAGATAGGAGTGGTCTGCTGATTTACTAGCGTAGCGATTCATATGTGCATTAAGATGCCTAGATTAATGTTGAAAAACAGGACGCAAAACCCTAACCCTATAAACCTAGTGTACAAGTGTACAATTTTTATGTAATAGCGTAATACGTCACTGACTCGTGCCATTTGCCAGATAACGAACAATTGCCGAACATGGTTAGATTGAAGCAGCCACAGATATCCAACAATATCTTGAAGAAGCTCTCCACAGACTTAGATAGCTTTTCATCTTCCATCCAATTTCATCCATCTCGGTTGGTTCAAGCCAGGAAAAGTCAGTTTTCAGTGAATCGTTCAAGAATAGAGCGAATTGGTGTTGGAAAGGTCCCATTACATTTGAACCCATGACAATTGCACCTGTATGCTATTGCACCTATGGAATTTTTTTGTGTTTCACGGATAGTTAAACCCATACTGACCCTAACCCATGGGTTTTAGCACCCGCATATAGATTGAACCCGCGGATATACGCATGGGTTCAAATGTACATGGGTTCAAATGTACGGTCACCGTTGGAAAATGCGTATGAATTTATGTCTTACTGCAAATGTCGCAAAATTGCATTAAAAATGTGGAAACAAAGCATTATTCTGAACATGAAATGAATTTTAACCTACGCTTTAGGTTTAAACCAATTTGTTAATAATTCCATCTCGTTGTATCGATCACTCGTTCTACGTCTGTCAATAATTTGATTTATTCGCTTTTATTTTCCTCCCGTGGGCCGTTACTATACTGTTGAAAATATGCATTGAAATTCATAAGCATTTCGCTGTAATGAAATAGCAAGGATAGAATTTACAAACTTATCCTGAGGGATACGAAAGATTATAAGACTTCTCCGGTTGGCATTCCTTGTCGGGTATGGGATTAGTTAGTTATTTGTTTTCGGAAGCATGGACTTGGTGGTGGAGGAAGCCGTAACCGACCAGCGGTTACGCGAACCACGCTACGGCGGCGAGGAATCCAGCAATCCTTTTGCTCATATTTATTCCCGCATGGG